GTTTCAAAACGACATAACTCCGCGCGGAGATATGAAGTTCCAAAACGACATAACTCCCCGCGGAGATATGACGTTCCAAAACGACATAACTCCGCGCGGAGATATGACGTTCCAAAACGACATAACTCCCCGCGGAGATATGACGTTCCAAAACGACATAACTCCGCGCGGAGATATGAAGTTCCAAAACGAGATAACTCCCCGCGGAGATATGACGTTCCAAAACGACATAACTCCGCGCGGAGATATGACGTTCCAAACGACATAACTCCCCGCGGAGATATGACGTTCCAAAACGACATAACTCCCCGCGGAGATATGACGTTCCAAAACGACATTACTCCACGCGAGATATGAGATATGACCTTCCAAATCATCACGATTATATTTTTCGAAACATTTTCGATGATATTTTTTTAATATCTCGGGTAAATAATGTCTGATTTTAAAATGTTATACCTTTTTGAATGCGTACGGATCCCTAGCATCAATTTAATACCATTTTTGACTCGTAAGGAGCAGTTCTATCGATTGGCATCAAAAAAAGAAAATCCAAAATTTTGACCCAAATCGACAAAATGGCAAGGGGTTAGTTACATCATGTTTTTTTCAAAATCGAGGTTGGTGCGAAAATCAAAACTTTTTCGATGAAATATGACGTTCCAAAACGACATAACTCCGCGCGGAGATATGACGTTCCAAAACGACATAACTCCGCGCGGAGATAAGACGTTTTAAAACGACATAACTCCGCCCGGAGATATGAAGTTCCAAAACGACATAACTCCCCGCGGAGATATGACGTTCCAAAACGACATAACTCCGCGTGGAGATATGACGTTCCAAAACGACATAACTCCGCGCGGAGATATGACGTTTCAAAACGACATAACTCCGCGCGGAGATATGAAGTTCCAAAACGAGATAACTCCCCGCGGAGATATGACGTTCCAAAACGACATAACTCCGCGCGGAGATATGACGTTCCAAACGACATAACTCCCCGCGGAGATATGACGTTCCAAAACGACATAACTCCGCGTGGAGATATGACGTTCCAAAACGACATAACTCCCCGCGGAGATATGACGTTCCAAAACGACATTACTCCACGCGAGATATGAGATATGACCTTCCAAATCATCACGATTATATTTTTCGAAACATTTTCGATGATATTTTTTTAATATCTCGGGTAAATAATGTCTGATTTTAAAATGTTATACCTTTTTGAATGCGTACGGATCCCTAGCATCAATTTAATACCATTTTTGACTCGTAAGGAGCAGTTCTATCGATTGGCATCAAAAAAAGAAAATCCAAAATTTTGACCCAAATCGACAAAATGGCAAGGGGTTACATCATGTTTTTTTCAAAATCGAGGTTGGTGCGAAAATCGAAACTTTTTCGATGAGATATGACGTTCCAAAACGACATTACTCCGCGCGGAGATATGACGTTTCAAAACGACATAACTCCGCGCGGAGATATGAAGTTCCAAAACGAGATAACTCCCCGCGGAGATATGAAGTTCCAAAACGACATAACTCCCCGCGGAGATATGACGTTCCAAAACGACATAACTCCCCGCGGAGATATGACGTTCCAAAACGACATAACTCCCCGCGGAGATATGACGTTCCAAAACGACATAACTCCGCGCGGAGATATGACGTTTCAAAACGACATAACTCCGCGCGGAGATATGAAGTTCCAAAACGAGATAACTCCCCGCGGAGATATGAAGTTCCAAAACGACATAACTCCCCGCGGAGATATGACGTTCCAAAACGACATAACTCCGCGCGGAGATATGACGTTCCAAAACGACATAACTCCCCGCGGAGATATGACGTTCCAAAACGACATAACTCCGCGCGGAGATTTGACGTTCCAAAACGACATAACTCCGCGCGGAGATATAAAGTTCCAAAACAACATAACTTTTTTTTTAATATCTCGGGTAAATAATGTCTGATTTTAAAATGTTATACCTTTTTGAATGCGTACGGATCCCTAGCATCAATTGGCATTCAAAAAACGTAATCATCAATCGGTTGAAAACTGTTGTTGACAAAAAACCGATTCGTTAGTGAATTCAACCTTTTTGATGATTTTTTGGAATATTTCCGTCAAATGAAGTCCAATTTTGCAATTTAATACCATTTTTGACTCGTAAGGATCAGTTCTATCGATTGGCATCAAAAAAAGAAAATCCAAAATTTTGACCCAAATCGACAAAATGGCAAGGGGTTACATCATGTTTTTTTCAAAATCGAGGTTGGTGCGAAAATCGAAACTTTTTCGATGAGATATGACGTTCCAAAACGACATAACTCCGCGCGGAGATATGACGTTTCAAAACGACATAACTCCGCGCGGAGATATGAAGTTCCAAAACGAGATAACTCCCCGCGGAGATATGAAGTTCCAAAACGACATAACTCCCCGCGGAGATATGACGTTCCAAAACGACATAACTCCCCGCGGAGATATGACGTTCCAAAGCGACATAACTCCCCGTGGAGATATGACGTTCCAAAACGACATAACTCCGCGCGGAGATATGACGTTTCAAAACGACATAACTCGGCGCGGAGATATGAAGTTCCAAAACGAGATAACTCCCCGCGGAGATATGAAGTTCCAAAACGATATAACTCCCCGCGGAGATATGACGTTCCAAAACGACATAACTCCGCGCGGAGATATGACGTTCCAAAACGACATAACTCCCCGCGGAGATATGACGTTCCAAAACGACATAACTCCGCGCGGAGATTTGACGTTCCAAAACGACATAACTCCGCGCGGAGATATAAAGTTCCAAAACGACATAACTTTTTTTTTAATATCTCGGGTAAATAATGTCTGATTTTAAAATGTTATACCTTTTTGAATGCGTACGGATCCCTAGCATCAATTGGCATTCAAAAAACGTAATCATCAATCGGTTGAAAACTGTTGTTGACAAAAAACCGATTCGTTAGTAAATTCAACCTTTTTGATGATTTTTTGGAATATTTCCGTCAAATGAAGTCCAATTTTGCAATTTAATACCATTTTTGACTCGTAAGGATCAGTTCTATCGATTGGCATCAAAAAAAGAAAATCCAAAATTTTGACCCAAATCGACAAAATGGCAAGGGGTTACATCATGTTTTTTTCAAAATCGAGGTTGGTGCGAAAATCGAAACTTTTTCGATGAGATAAGACGTTCCAAAACGACATAACTCCGCGCGGAGATATGACGTTCCAAACGACATAACTCCCCGCGGAGATATGACGTTCCAAAACGACATAACTCCGCGCGGAGATATGACGTTCCAAACGACATAACTCTCCGCGGAGATATGACGTTCCAAAACGACATAACTCCCCGCGGAGATATGACGTTCCAAAACGACATAACTCCGCGCGGAGATATGACGTTCCAAACGACATAACTCCCCGCGGAGATATGACGTTCCAAAACGACATAACTCCGCGCGGAGATTTGACGTTCCAAAACGACATAACTCCGCGCGGAGATATGAAGTTCCAAAACGACATAACTCCCCGCGGAGATGTGACGTTCCAAAACGACATAACTCCGCGCGGAGATATGACGTTCCAAAACGACATAACTCCCCGCGGAGATATGACGCTCCAAAACGACATAACTCCGCGCGGAGATATGACGTTCCAAAATGACATAACTCCGCGCGGGGATATGACCTTCTATCAGGTTTTTTTTTAAAAAATCGGGCCAATCTATCGATTGGCATAAAAAAAAGGAAATCCAAAATTTTGACCCAAATCGACAAAATGGCAAGGGGTTACATCATGACGTTTCAAAACGACATAACTCCGCGCGGAGATATGACGTTTCAAAACGACATAACTCCGCGCGGAGATATGACGTTCCAAAACGACATAACTCCGCGCGGGGATATGACCTTCTATCACGTTTTTTTTTCAAAATCGGGCCAATCTATCGATTGGCATAAAAAAAAGGAAATCCAAAATTTTAACCCAAATCGACAAAATGGCAAGGGGTTACATCATGACGTTTCAAAACGACATAACTCCGCGCGGAGATATGACGTTTCAAAACGACATAACTCCGCGCGGAGATATGACGTTCCAAAACGACATAACTCCGCGCGGGGATATGACCTTCTATCACGTTTTTTTTTTCAAAATCGGGCCAATCTATCGATTGGCATAAAAAAAAGGAAATCCAAAATTTTGACCCAAATCGGCAAAATGGTAAAATAGAGGTCGGTGCGGAAATTGAAACTTTTTGGATGATATTTTTTAAAATATCTGGGGTAATAGCATCGCGCGGAGATATGGCGTTCCAAATCGACATAACTCCGCGCGGAGATATGACGTTCCAAAACGACATAACTCCGCGCGGGGATATGACCTTCTATCACGTTTTTTTTTTCAAAATCGGGCCAATCTATCGATTGGCATAAAAAAAAGGAAATCCAAAATTTTGACCCAAATCGACAAAATGGCAAGGGTTTACATCATGACATTTCAAAACGACATAACTCCGCGCGGAGATATGACGTATCAAAACGACATAACTCCGCGCGGAGATATGACGTATCAAAACGCCATAACTCCGCGCGGAGATATGACGTTCCAAAACGACATAACTCCACGCGATATATGAGATATGACCTTCCAAATCATCAGGCTTTTTTTTTCATAATCGAGTTTTCAAATCAAAATTTTGGGTAAATAATGCCTGATTTAAAATTGTTATACCTTTTTAAATGCGCACGGACCCCTACCATCAATTGGCATTCAAGCAAATTAAACATTGATGTCCGTCTGTCCGTCTGCCCGTATGTATGAACGCAAGGATCTCAGAACCTAAAAGAGCTAGAGACTTGAAATTTTAGATGTAGGTGCTGCTAGTGCCCGCGCAGATCGAGTTTGTTTCCGATAATTGATAACCTACTCCGTTTCCAAGCAATCGATCAAAATTGATATCGATATCCTGTTTTTGGTAACGACTATCGATTACTTGATCGATTTTCAATGCATATGCTTAAACGATATACTTAGAATTAGTCTGCAATCCAAACAAAACTAATATTTTCAATAAAGATATTGTTATAAACATCTTTTTAAATAAGTATTTGTTGTCGTCAGAGGATAATAAAATCAATTAATCTGTTTTATTTAGATGCCTAATGTCCAACTATGAGAGTCCTATGATCCCTTGAGTTCATGTCACGCCAAATGAACACGACCCACGCACGGCTCTATTTGGAGACTCAATCTTCAGTTCCCACTTGACTGCCGCACTCTTAATATTTCGATTTATTTGACTTGCAGAGAGTGAAGCGAAGCGAATGCCTCAGCTTAGCCAGTGCTTATAATGTGTCTCAAAAGGACGCAATGCAGTCATTTTGTTCCTCCTTCTGCCTCGGCGCAGCCTTGGGCAATTTTAAAGTCTGATGTGTGTGTGTGTGTGCGTGTGTGTGTCTGTTGTCAGAGCATTCAGCTAAATCTGTCAAACAGCAAATACAAACACAAAATACAAATACAAATACAAGAGTACGAAGTACAAATCCAAAGTACAAGTAAATAATAAAATCAACTTGAAATTCCGTTCGGGTTGTGTTCTCGTAATGTGCCTGAAATTGATTTTCTTTTTGCCAGACAACCAGGCATCAGGCGCAGAGGAAATGTGCACGACGGAAGCGGCAGGGGGTCATGCGACAGCTCCTCTGAGCACACACACACACACACGTCGCTGGAGTGCATATCCTGAGGGTAAATATTTGGTCAAAATTCGTGAAGGTGTCGAAATGCTGTTTGAACTTTTTCTCCGACACAGCTGAAAAATTTGTTGGCATTAAACAAGAAAAAAATGGAAAATTAAAAGAGGGACATAAAAGATAGCTGTGTTCCTTTTTTGTTGGCTTTGTTTCAGTTTTTGATTTTAACAATATATATAATTAGAAAATAATACAACTTGGAAGAGTCTTGGCTTTGAGATTTGACTTTATTCAGCTTTATGTATTCATTTCAGACAAAAACTCAACAGCAACAAATGAATCTTTTATTTGCCTTTGCCGAAACTAAAATCTGAATAAAAATGTCCTAATTCCCTTAACAGAAGATACAAATAGATCATATAAAACACATCTTATATCTGACTAGAATTCAACATTCACTCTTTCACTTATTTTTCATTTCAGACCCAAACTGAAGACATAATCGAATTCTAGAATCTCCTGCCTTGAAGTATGAGAAGGATGTAAAGAGATCAAAAAAAAAATGTCCTACGTCTGAACAGAATTCCACTTTCTTCTTTGCAGGAACAGAATTTCCTTCAGCTTAACCTTATTTCTTCTACTCCAAAAAGCTAATTTATTTATGCAATGATTCAAGGTATTCATGGGTATTCACTTAAGTGAATATTATTGCGAGCAAAATAAAAGAAATAATGAAATAATGCCGCTAAATCAATAAAAGTTTCCAGGGCTTAAAACCAGCCGGAAAGTGTCCTTGTGCGCCTCTCAATGGCAGTTGGCGACAGTCGCTAAGTCGCTAAGCTTTACAAAATATGCCGATATCCTTTTCTTTTTTATTTATTTTTTTTGGTATTTTTCGTACTTTTTTCGTGTTTGCTTTTTGGACGCGTTGCATCGCTTGTTGAGGCATTTTTATTGACTTACTTTCGAGTGGCAACGGAAAAAGTTTTCCCAACTATTCCCCAACTTTTGGCGGCGCATCTTTATTGTTGTTTTTGTGTGTGTGTGTGAGTGCGAGTATGCGTGTGTATGGCTGCTGCTGGTTCAAAGTTCTTAAAATATATATTTTACGATTACAAATGAGATTTATTTGCCATTTCCGGCTGCATTAGCGGAAGTGCACTGCCAGCTCGAGTGTGCGGCCATAAAAATGCCAAACAGCCCTGCGAAGTTCGAATCTCGAACCACTAAACCACAAGCCGTTAGACACTGCCTTCACACACAGCCGCACACACAAATATACACACAAACACACACACACACACATTCGCATTGCATTTTTGTCGCATTAACCAACTGTTTTCTTTGCGCTTTTCGTTTAGCCAGGACAAACTTGTCAACGCAAATGGCGCGCCGCAGGACCACGCCTAATGCACTTTTGATAGGCACCACGAGCAGCAGCAGGGGCTGGTTGAAGAAAAGCAGCAGCAGCAGCAGAAGCAGCAGCAGCATCAGTTAGTAGCATGTCCAAAACAGCAGCCATTGATAAATTATCATGTGGACATCAGCCTGGAGGGGGAGCAGTGGACCCGTCATCAGGTGCAGCAAATGATGCTGCATAAAAATAAAAAAATAACAAAAAAAAAAAAAATAAATAAAAACTCTTTCTCTCCCTCCCTGGCGGCGTAAATTTTTAATCTATTTTAAATGTGGTTTATGGTACGGTGCGACCGGATGATGGTTCACAACGACCGTGCATACTTTTAACTGGTCGGTGGGACTTTCGTCCGTTTGTAACGCCATTTGTCAACGATTTATCAAATCAGATTGCAAATATCAAATGTGTTTATTTACGGCCCTAACGACGGCCTACTTATCGCTGCAACTGTTATTTTTAATGTCGTCCAATTGTCGACTCATTAATTAGATATTAATAGAAATTAATTGTAAATGCGTTTTTAATTGTTGTTTAAAATAAACCATATAAATCAAGCAACTTGTTAATGTTTCTCTTTTGGCTTGGATTTAATTGGCTTAAGTTGTCAAGTAAGGACACAATAAATTTCGTTATTATTCAAGACACAAAACCAGGCGAACAGCAACGACAGCTAGTTTTTATATTTTTTATGTTACCTGTGCTCGCAAACCAGAAAGCTGACAGCGCAGCACCGAGAGCTGAGGTGAAAGCTGAGCTGAGCGCTGTGGTGAATTCACGCCCAGAGCTGAGCTGAAAGCTGCGTTGAGCGCTGTTCAACACAAGTTCTGTTATGCTCGCGCATTCGCTTGCAGAGTGCTCGTTTTTGTTCTCTCTAAACATTCTTCCGATGTGTGCGTGTGTGCTTGCGCCCTTCGTAACAAGCGACCTTAAGCCATCTGCTGTTCATTATGTTCGCCTGGTACAACGCGTAGAAAATCAACAAATTTGGCATTAAATTGAAAATAAATTGACCGCAGGCAAAAGTGGCAAGAAAATACCAAATTTAATTAGCTGCTCAATGCTGTTTTACTGTCGCATTTATCTGAACGAAATACCAGGCGCTCAGCAACAGCAGAAGCTTGCTTTTATGTAAATGTTATATATGCTTTCACTTAGAATGTGTGCGTGCAAATAGCTTAAAGCGCAGATGTTTGTTCTGAGCGTAAAAGCTTCACTCTCACTTCTTTCCGCTCTCTTCTAAGTGCGAGCATCCTACAGTGAAAAGAAATGAAACAACAAGATCAGAGCTGCCAGCTGCGGACGCTGTTCGCCTGGTATTTCTTTAGGAAATACCACAAACCACAATCAAATGCAATTGGAACGAACGTAAACGATGTCGGCAATGGAAAATGTCAATAAAGGATTTGGAACATAATGCTGACAACATAGAGAATATTAAAATGTGTTTTATTTAAGTTTTGTTTTGTTTATTGATTTATTTTAATAATTGCATACTTGAAAACAATTGATAATATCGTATTTTTGTTTATCGCACTGAAACTTAACAAGTAAAAAAACAGATTTATTTTTTGTTTAAATAGACAATTGGTTTCTTGGTTTCACATTGACGAGTACGTAAAATAACAAATATTTGATGGCTTAGCCTAAACAAAACGTGGTTAAATCATCAGCATCAGCAACATTATATTAACATTAAACGCATACTCAATTAATATTTTAATTTATTCATATTTTGACTGATTTTGGCAATGCATTTGCCCGCATTGACAATTGCACAATATATTTGATTTTTTTTTTTTTGTATTTCGACATAACATTTAACATGCAGTTAAAATTAGATAATTGCATAAATAATTTGACTATTGACTAGGGATAAATTTGTAGTTGTATTCTTTTGCTAATTTGCTAATATTTATATTTGGAATATATATGTGTGTGTATGTGTGTATGTGTTATATATATTTAATGCAGCATTTCAATAATAAATAGAGTTTGCAATTTGCACTGGGTGTCTACCTAAAGCATTAATTAAAACCGATTCTATAAAAATTCATGAAATTCTCTCTTAACATTTTTGTTAGAAGTGTTTCCGGAGGGGGGAGAGGCGTTTGCGGCGAGATTCGTGTCGTTAAGTGCGGCTGCCGCAATTCGCCGCGCAGCGTTTGCTAATGGTTTGCGTCTGAGCTAGCGACTTATCTATAGTTGGTTCTAAACTAGACTACTACAAGTTTCTTCGATTGGCAAGACAAATTCTTTCTCAATAAATAGCGAAAGTAAGAGAGACAGAGCAAGAGTAAGAAAGAAAGAAAAAGAGAGAGTGTATGGGGCAGCAAACGTATCTACGTTATATACAGCTCCACACAGGAGTTGCTCACAATAGGCGTGGCATTGGCCGCAGCGCTCGCGTTGCCAGTTTTCAAGGCATGCGTCGTCCCACTTCCCGTGTGGTTTGTGTCCACGCTAAGCATTGGCGGCGACGTCGCCCTGTCAGGCTGAGCAGGCGCAGCAGCTGCAACGCCATTCACAATAAGCGCGGGCGTAGATGGCGACTGCGACGGCGGCGGCACCGCTACACTGGCGGCCGTAATAGTTGTCGTGGCTGTTAACTTACTGCTACTGCTATTGTTGGTGCTGTTACTGCTGCTGCTGCTGTTGTTGTTGCTGCTAACTGTGGGCTTTGGTGGCACAAAGGGCACGGCATTCTTGCTGGGCGTGAGTATGAGACCGGCGTTGGGTGGTGACAGCGGCGAGGGTGGAAAAAAGTCCACCGGATACTGTGAAATACATTATAAATCAAAGTAACATATATATTATAGAATAGTTGAGAATTGCGAGGGTCGAAAAATATATGAAAATATATGGCCGTAGTACACTTTTCCACCAACGGTTCGTTTGTCCCTGTGGTGAAATAGTGAAGATTGGCGAGATTGAATGTAAAGGCAACTTTCCGAAAATGAGAAACACTTCTCAAATGTATTTGCAAGAAATCCGAAAAGTAATTGATTCAAGTTCGATCAGATGACAGCAAAAACATTTCACTTTATAAGCTTTCACTTATTTTCCACATTTACGGGTGGAAAAACGTTAATATAGGAAAGCTTTCCAGTTCTAACAGTTCAATCAGTTAGTACAAACATATGCATAAATACAGCTGTCGCCTACTTACCATTGCCTGGTGCTGTGAGGGCGAATGGGCGCCCGGTTGGCTGTAGTAGGTGGTGGGCGAAACGGGCGGACTGGGATACGGCCAGTAGACCAACGGCGGCGGATAAAACGCCGACGCATGATGATGATGATGATGATGATGGGCATGGGCGTGCGCGTGGGCATGAGCGTGATGAGCTCGCGGCGTGGCCAGCAGCGGGGTATGCGGCGGCGGCGGCGGCGCGCCATAAGCCGGAAAATGTGCACCAAAATGAGCACCCAGCACAGTGGTACCTACAGAAGGAAAAGCAAATAAGTTAATAATTGGAAATAGTTGCCAAAAGTTAAACTTAAAGTACAACAACAAATATCTGAAAGTCAGTGTTGTGAGTATGGCTGGGTATACTATATTTTTGTTTTTCTGAACTAGAATAGATTGTTAGTCTGAAGAAAGCCAAAGTAAATGCAGACTCCAAAAAAAGGAAGCAAACACAAAAAGGTTGTAGAAAATAGACAAGTTGCGTATGCAACTGACTTGAGTTTCGGTTAGGATTAGTATATATTGTTGTAGTTGTTGTTAGGGTTAGTTTTTGTTTATTTATTATTTTGTTTTTCAACTTTTAATTCAAGTTAAATATAATCGTATTCAAAAACACTCACCGTTTAGACATTTGCAAAATATGGTAGAGTAGACATGTAGTATAAAGTAATTTGATTTTGAAGATATGTATGGAATAATATCAGTATATATGCACATATATATGTATATATATTTATATATGTATATATATATATATATATTTACCACTTTACCCAGAGACCATGAATACATTTTGCGCACATAGTAAACTTAAGAACATGTTTTTATCCCGATCAGTTTTTGTTTAATCCAAGCACCAACCAGCCTTCAAAAATGTAAAAAAATTAAAAAGAAACCAACAACACACACAGCTGGACCATTGACAACAACGACGGCGTATGAGTAAAGAATCGAATTATCGTTATCGTTATCGTTATCGTAACATATATATGCAATTACAGTTAGGTCTAGGAGAGCACAACCAGTTACTCAACGAGTTACACAAAAGCAGCAGAGGACCCATTATTGTTATCGATAATTTATCGATTTTTATTTATATGCTAATCGATAGCTAATCGATTACCAATCAATCGCCT